AGGTGCAAGTGAGTGGTTGGGGAAGGAGGGCTGTAGGGGGTGTAGTGGCGGAATTTTGTGACAATTAAGGGGTGAGAGTGGTGTCAATAGGAATGAGTGGTTTAGGGAGAAGGACTTCAAGGGCTTTAGCAATAGCAGTCAGTGACTGTTATAAGGGCTAGGGCATTAACATGGGGTCAGAGGTCACTGGTAGAGGGTTGGGTGAAGATTCCAAAAAGGAAGATATGACTAGACAATGGAACAGAAAAAAAGGCTATGGCCATTAAAAGTCAACCAAGTAAAGTATTCAGGATTTTTTTATCTTTCTTTATAGTCTCCAGAACAACTAGTGTCAACAATTGACTTAAGTTACCTGTAAGTATTTGTGTGGTAAGCTTTTGTTGTGTGATTGTATATATTATATGAAACAAACGATAAGAAAAAAATGTAGGAAATACAGAATTACAGTAACATACAATTATTTTTATGTCACTGTCATTTTGATTGTGTTTTCTGTGTCCACAGGTCGGATGTGTTGACAAAAGATGAAGCCATTGGTCAGTCATCCTTGTATTTTATTGTTAATGTACTGTATAAGCCTGTCTGTGATGGAGTGAAGACGTTCTGAATACCAAGTTTCGAAGTTCTGAAAAAGTACCCATCCCTCAAATATTCCAGTTGCTCTTTGTCATTTTTCTACTATTGTGACACTGATGGTAAATACCGTATTTCCTCGAATAATAGCTGTTCCTCGATTAATCACCTCCTCAAATAATTGCCCCCCTTGAATAATCGCCCCCTCCCCTTCCCCTCGCCATTTTCTCTTTCTCTTTTTCGTACCCCCTCCCTCTCAAGACAACATCCATTGCTTTAAGGCTGATCAACCTTGTCATGCCAGGTTGGAGAGGCTACGACATCGATCACACAACAGGAGGACAGAGTGCATTGCATGACGAGACCAAACAATGGCTGTGAAGGAGACTACAGGAAGTGTGGCTCCAATGCCGTTAATTTTTGCTAACAGTTATTATTCAGNGGGCAGAATTGAAGACCTGTAAAGTGATAGTGTATAAGTTGCTCAAAGTGATAATCTAAACAATCTAACAGCATTAGTGCCTCTGTCCAGGGTTGTAACTAAGAAATGATGCTGCAATTTCTGAAATTTCAAGTGAGGCGGCTCAAAGGTGGTGAATGACTGTAAATGTGTAACCTCAGAAGTGCCTGTTGTGCTTTTTACCAAGCAATCACCAAACAAAAATCCAGCCAGCAATTGCCCCTTCTAGATCCAGTGAATTTTGAAGGCAGCCAGCTCTAAGCAACAACCCTGCTCAATCAGTTCTTACATTAGGGGTAATGGCCTGAATGAATTCACCAAAATATTGCATTCAACAATGAAATGAGAAAATCTTGAGTCTGCACAATTGCAGACTTAAGCAAAAGTTTATAGAACAATATAATGGACTTCAAGTGGTAGGATGCGTAAGTAGTTAGTAGCAGCAGCAGCAGTAGCAGTAGCAGCAGTTCTTTGTTTAATGTGGCACCACACTTAGCTACAAGCTACTTTCCAGGAAGCCCACAACAAAATACTCAATAAACATTACAACCTACATCAAGAATTTACTTTAGGTAAAATATTATTATAAAAAGGATATTGCAAATTTAAATATATATTTGTATACATGTGTAGTAAAACAGATATCAAAAAAACTAAAAACTTAAAATTTTAGGCGATGGATGTCGTGAAGAAACGGTCTTGTGCTAGCCTTTGCGCGTATAGCATCTGGTAGCGCATTCCAAGTCTTAGCAGCAAAATAACAAAGTGACTTAAGACCATGCTTGGTACTGTTAACCTTAGATAAGGAAAGTGCCTCTTAAATTGTAATCAGTCCTCCTTGGTTTAATTAAGTCAGCAGTAGGTCTGAGAGCCTTATATAGAAAGCAGTTATTGACTTTTAGCAACATGTCTTGAATCCTACGACTCTTCACTGTCGTATGCAAGCCGATACAATAGAGCAAGTCTTCATATGAAATACCCTTATCTTGATATATATCTATTAGTGCACATTGATGTACCCTTTCCATTTTCCTTTTATTCCTTTCCCCACAAAGGTAGGATGTCTAAATATCATTTGGTTACCATTAAAAGACCAGGCAGTTTGGTTGTTTTTTCTTTGACCTCTCATTGACTCTCAAAGGCATTTCCTTCTATTTGGCTATAATTGTAATAAATTTGGTTTTAAAGCATTCAATCAAAAAGCACCATTTTTAAAAATTTCAGAAGTTAAGTGAATAATTATGCAAACTGTTATCGTTTGCAACAAATACAGATTCAAGATGAAAATTGGTTCTGATCTAAATGAAGACATCAGAAGAGCAACAATATTCCGAGATGAGATTGGATGGGATAACTTTCTGGTAAATGTCAGACTGCT